GTGCTTCCTTGTATTGAAAGGTATAGTGAAAGTGCTGAAAATCCATCCCATTTCCTTTGTATTTTTCCTCTTCCTTTAATGGTTTTTCCTTTGCTCTTACCAAAATATTAATCCGGTCTTTTTTCAATAAAATTGAAAGGAAAGTCTATTTCTACTACTTCCCAATAATTCCTTTGATCCTGAGAGTTGGATAAACTCATCAACATCTCCAGCATTAGAACCTGAAAGGATGTAAAATGATGATGATGGCCCAGCAAGGTGGGGTAGCTTTTCTTCCCCTATGCTAGGCCATACTCATTACTCGAGATTTTATTATTTTCAAGCTCATAAATAGCTATTGGACCATGAGACTCATACGTCCTTACTTAGATGCCTCCTCTCCCTTCTTGCCACAGATATTTGGAAGCCTTTAATCTGTCTCCCAGAGCTGACCCTGTGTGTTCCTGTGTTTTTCAAGCTTCACCAGCCACAAAGGGGAACTGAATGTGAACATGCATGCAAACCTGTCAGTTCCCTTTGTAGCCAGCTGAACGTGTTGTTTTGGGTTTTTTTTTTTAATATAGAGGAAACTGCTTTTCTTTTGAGTACAAGCTGAATTTCCAAATAAATATGAAGCATTTCTGCTTTTGACAGATGGGGAGGGGACACAAGAGAACAGCGCTCTAAATTAAGAGAAAGACAATTTAAAGAGAAAGTAAGGGAACAGACAAAACTGAATTGAGGAAGAGAAAAAGGTGCTGCTGAATATAGGAAAGGAAAAATGTAGAGGGGGTAATGGGGGTGCTAGAAAGTCTGCTTAATTCCTAGGATGCTGGAGGAGACAGGAAACACAGCAAGGAACTGTCTGTAAGAGCTATGCCACCAGTATTAATGGGCGGCATTAAGAACTTTTGGTCTAGAAATTTGCTGTTTGACAGAATTTGACAATATGACACAGTAGTGATTATCATCACTGCCTGAGCTCATGCTCCTGAGCCAAGTTTCTAGTGAACGTAAGTTGTCCACATTTCACAATGCAATGTGGTGACCAACCACTTGTGCCTCTCTGATCACAAGGAGCAAAGCCAAGGATGGGATGCGTTTTAACATGTTTTCTTCTGCCATCTTGCCAAAAGGTGCCCTCATATTCTCCTTTTACTTGCTGAAGTTTTAGAGTTTGATTCTGAAGTTTGGTTCTGACTAGCTTAAAATGAAGTGGATCTGCTACCTCTCCTGTCCTGGACATCACTATTATTAATGAAAGCCACAGCAAAATGCCCTTTTTGAGATTAACTTCTCCCATCTCGTTTGATACAGATTGGCATCCACTGTATCTCTCCCTGGTTCTGATGTTTACCATCCACTTCTGACCATTCCACTGTGTGTTTTTCCCTGCCTTTCCCTTGGCATTTGAATAACATGGTTCCTACTAGCCAGGATTTATAAACTGCTTTTGTCCTCCTAACACCCCTATGAGTGAGGTACTGTTATTCCCATTATCTCAGTAGAGGAAATAGACTATGTCCAAAGTTGGATAAGTGGTAGAGCCGAACATTGAATTCAAGCCGTCTGACTGCATCGTCTTCCTTTTTAACCTGTTAGACTGCCTCTCAGTTCATTATTCAATAATGTTTAATGTTGTTGGACTAAGAAAATCTATTGGATTCAGCCACACCATAATTCTTGCTGTGGCCTTACAATAGGATTATAGTACTCTACACTCATTGGCCAAGACTAATCCCCTGGACTGTGTTTGCTTGGGCAATACCAACATTTTCCTACTACTTTTTCACCCTAATTTTCCTTCAGCCCTAGTAAGTGGGCAGTTCTTTCCTTAGATATATATTTTTCCATTAACTTTATTTTACAATACAGTTACATTCATCTCCTTAGATGTATTAAAACATTTAATTAGGTTATCTGGTAAGAAACTTTCTACTTCTTTCAAATTCTTTTATAGTGCCAGGCACAGGGTGGCATAACTGTAGCCCTGTGCCAGTTGCTCAGAAGGCTGAGGTAGGAGGATCACTTGAGCCTTGGACTTTGAGACCAGCCTGGGCAACATAACAAGGCCCTGTCTCCTCCTCTTTAAAAATTATTTTATATAACTCTACTTAGGTGTTGAGTTTTGTAGTTTAATGCTCAGAAAACATTTCTATTTTTGTATTCTTAAGAAATGTATAATTTGATACCTCTGAACTATTTATAACTGAAAACAAAGCTGTTTAATTATTGGATAATTTCATTTACAAATTCTTTAGCTTAGTCCTTAAGGAATATGTATCAAAGAACTAGTGTTTATCTAGACTTATTGACTGGAAATTTTTTTCTTTTTTTATAGTATCTAATAAAAGAAACCATAGGCAAAGTAAAAGATAAGTACATACTACTAGAAGTTATTTGCAACCCGTATGAACAAGAAGATTAGGGTTTAAACGATATAAAGAAATATGCCAATAATTTAAAGGTAAAACAATAAGCAACTCAGGAAAGAAAGGGAAGGGGAGGAAAAAATATTTAAAAATAAATAATTCATAGAATAAAAGGATGGGAGATATGAACCCTAGAAGAAATCGGTGAGCCAAAAACATAAGCTGCTGCTCAATTTCTCTAGTAATCAGAGAAGTACAAATGAAAACCACAGTGTGATACTACTTCACATCTGTCAGATTGATAACTGGTCAATGTAATAAAAGCCAGGCATTTAGTGAGGATGTGGGTTAATAGAAACATTTCTGTGAAGAGGTGGGATGGGTGGGACTTGCACTGAAGTCCATATCCCTAAATTCAAGTGTTCATGGTTCCAAGTGTCAACCATAGAGAACCTCCACACATCAGCAAAGGTTTACAGAACACTTTGCTTGAACACGGTTTCTAGTAGCTGAAAAACTGGAAACTACCTAATGCCCATTGTTAGGGGAAATGGAAAAACGAACTTGTTTGTTATACCATAAGACATTGCATCCGTGAAAATTAATAAATGAGATCTTCATGTTACCAACATAGATAAATATAATTTGTGAAAAAAGTTTAAAAATATATTAAGATACACGTATGTAAATATTGAAAACAAAAAATGCATATTATTGTACATATGTATGTTGTAAAAGTACACAACTATGCATCAGAATAATATATCCTAGCTTTAGGAAATAAGATTTGAGGAGGGGATGTGCGAGGTGAGTTTATCTAACTTTTAGATTGTGTATGTGGCTATGAGATAAGTTTTAAGTAAGGCCAAAACATTAATATTTGTTTGGTTTGGGTGATGGGTGCTTAACTGCCTGTTATGTTGTATCCCCCCCACACGCACACACCTTTTGCTATGCTTTGAAATGTTTTATTACTAAGAAAAATGTGAAATTACAAAAGCAGATTATAACTCACAGTTAACTATCACTCCTGAAATAACTGCATAACTTATAAAGTAAAAAAGAGATTGTATGCATCATAGTAAAATAAAAAAGATCTAAAGGTGTAGGGGAAGTGGGAAGGGTAGGGGAAAGGAAATAAGGGAAAAGTAAAAAAGAGATCACCTGTATACAAACCATAATTAGAAACATTTTCCAAAGCTCATCTTATAATTCTTCCTCATGCATTTCATAGGCTAGAAGCCAAATTAATTAGAGTAAGGTGCTCTAATTTGATTTCAATTTTTCTTCTATTCCCCCTGTATGAGTTTGTTCTGGATTATCTGTCATCCATGTTTTAGATGGAGCTTTCAGAATACAGAAATGTGTGATAGAAGACCAGTTTTGAGAATTTTGGGGTTTTGACATCCTACAGTTTTGATGACGGATAAACAGAATTTTTTGCCCAAAATGAATACTAAAGGCAACTTTTATTTTTAAAAAACAAAAAAACATTTCAGTAACCACCTTTACGCTTAGGTGGAATGAAACAAAAATGAAAATCTTTCCAAAGAGTGTCTCTGAAACAGAAACTTACCAACTTGCCTCCTCTTCTATACAAAGTACAATTGCTGCTTACATCGCAAATGCAGTGAAGATCAAATAATCATAATGCCTGGCAAACATCTAGCACCGTGAAGAGCACATATAAACAAATACAGTTTTACTTTTCGTCCCATTCTGTCACACATGAACCTGAAGGAGGGAAGTAAGAGGCAAAATGGAAGTTTAGGACAAATCGCATACCCCCTTTCCGGTTCTGTGCCCATTGCTGCCACAACCCAGCCAACTCGCCAAGTCTTCATCTGCAAACCCAAACTGAACTGAGACGCTGCAGTCACTCAACTGGGCCCTCAATCATAACAGAAGATCCTGCATCGTCCAACATGTTTCCCTCTCAGCCGAATTGTCATCGTTCGGACTGTATTTGGAGATTCAAATGCTTTCTTCCAATCCAAAATACCAGTTTATAGTGTTTGCTGGTGCCTGTCGTAAAAAGTTCTCCAGTACATGTCATATTTGTTGTGAATATTTTTCCTGTTTCATGCTTTTATTTCTGTTTATGGTTTTTCACAAAGAAGAATCTAAAATTTTAAACAAAATCTGTTTATTTTTATTTTTCCATATTTCTATTGTTTCGTGAACAAAAAATTCTTTCCCATCCACAGATGAGTTAGTTACCTATGTTTCAGAATCTTTTAATGGTCCCGTTGTTTACATTTAACTTTTAAATCTACTTATACTATAATTGTTTTGGCGTGATATAAGATAAAGCTGTAAGTTGGCTCTTTATTTTAAATGGAAGCAGCACTATTTATTAATCCTTCTCAATATTTTTTGGATATTTCCTTTGTTTGTAGTGATTCTATCTGAACTCCAAGGAGAATGCATCAGAGTCGTCTACCACTGATTTGTTCCTGCGTCTACTCTTTGGAGAGCTGTTAATATGTCACATTAAATTCTTAGTTTTTCTGTTTGATTTTTACTGTACATTATTTAAATTATTTCCATTTTCACCTAAGCAATGAAGATAAGAGTAATCTTATTTTTATTAGAACTTTATTATTTAATCTGTTAATACAGATTTAGGCATACACGAATACAGTGGCAAATTATACAGGCTTTTAAAAGGACAATGAACATATATTTTTCTGACATTTTAAGTGAGCCCTCAAATCACTTAACTTACCTTAAATTAGTATCAAGTGCTTGATTATGGAAACTACTTGAGAGTAGTGACTTGAGAGTCAGTGACACTTCTTTATTTTGTTGTTAAAGCTGTGAATTGCACTTAACTTTCTAATCCATGTTAAGAGTGCTAGTTTAACAATTTATTTTGAAAAGAATACAGGTTTAAAATTCAGTAATAAGTGTAAGCTTTTCTTTGCCTTGAAATATTTTACAGTAAAGCAAATGAAATATCACAAACATGAACAGAGCTTTGAGGTCTGAGTTTGATAAATCTAAAGCTTTATGTCGTAATTTTTTAGATCTTTAAGGAATTAAGAGGTTACAGTTCATCATCCTTGTTAGTATGTGTACCTCAGGTACCTTTAGGATTGTACTACAACTTAGGTGCTGCAGATGTATCATGCAGGGAGTACCCTGGCTTAAATTCTGAAGTGCTTTCACTTCTGCTTGCTTCACTTTGAAATCGTCTAAAAAGAAGTTGACACATTATTTTGCGAATATTACTGGACATCAGGAAGTACATGACTGGGTCTAAGCAACTATTGAAAGATGAGAGAACCAGCATAATCTCATTGGTTTTGTGAATGATTTCCTTCCAGTAACAAGATGATTCATTTAGCTGCGAAGAAATGTATATGAATCGAAAGGCATGGTAGGGAACAAAACATAGAGTAAAAATGATCAGTACAATAAAGGAATTTCGGGCTGTCGTGGTATATTTACTAGAATTAGGAAATTTTGACCTTCTTTTAGAAATCTTCAATAGATTCTTGCCGATCTTAATATATGAAAGGATTATTAATAGGAAAATTAGCCAGAACATTACCACAAGAACAAAGTTAAAAATTGCTTCTCCTATTGCATTATGTTTATCTCTGTAATGGAAACACATAGTGGAATTGTGCCCTCCTCTCTTAAGTGTTAAAATAATAAGAGTTAAAAATCCAGCAAGAGCAACTGTCCATACTATACAGCAAACATAAATACTCTGTTTGGTTGTTATTGCCCTCCGTTGTTGTATCGATCGATTAATTTTTATGTAGCGATCCAAACTGATGAATCCAAGCAAAACAATGCTAATGTACATGTTCATATAAAACAGTGTTCCCACAACCTTGCAGAGAATCACACCTAGTGTCCAAGTATTTTGGTTAATATGATACATTATTCGGAAAGGGAGGCAGAAAATGAGTAGAAGATCTGCAATGGCTACGTTAAGTAGGTAAATTTGAATGGAATTTCTTTTGCGATGGATGCCCAGAAATACATAGAGGGCAATTATGTTTCCAACCAGTCCCACGATGAAAACAATAGAATAGAATACTGTTAACACAGTAGATAGTAATTGTTCCTCCATGTAACAGGTAGTAACATTTGATGCTCCTGAGAAGTTCTGTGGGACTTGATCACTCTGATTAGTTACAAAGTACATCCCATGGGAGGAGCAAGGCAAACTCCGCGATGTAGTTGTCATTGTTACAGTGTGACTTCTGTCTTCAGTGGTGCTCAAAAAGAGATGCTAAATGACATGTCCCTCTGTGTAGCTCTTTTATCTTCAGAAGTAACCTATAAAAAGTGCCAGACATTGACTCATTTGCTATTTTAGTAACAGCTGCATTAACTCAAATCATAAATAATAAAAATAATAGAAGATTTCTTTTCAGATATTGTGAGAAACTACTTTCTTCATACTTTAGGCATTTGAATAACTGCACCATGTGTGTAGTAGCATCGTTAACCTTTCCCATAGCTGTGGCATACACTCAGAGTGTTTCATTTATTATATTAAAATAATTAAACAATAAGATCATTGTTTCTTAGGGATGTTGCTATGGGAATAGAGATGGAAGTGAAGAGAAATTATTTTTCAAAAATGAGCATCAATTTCCCAAAAGGTAGTTTCAGCTATGAGTAAGTTGGGCCCACTCCAGAACTTCTTCCTACCTTGCCCTTTCCCTTTATATCTGGCATTCGTTCATTTTGTCACATGTTGCACGCGGCATGTGACAGATAAACCATGGCAATCTCTCATTCCATAATGAGAATATGGAGAGAGTCATAAATTTCTTCTTTCTCAGCCTAAGAGCAAGTAAGGATACTAAAATCATTTTCCTACAGGAACATGCAGTTAACATAACAGACCAAGAGAGCCAGCAACTGCCCCTTACAAACTCTTATAACACCGCACAGGAGAGCAAAGTAGACTGACAAAACCATATCAGGTGGCAAAGGCCAGTTAGCCACTCCTAACCTAGAAACACAGGGTGATAACATAGATATAAAACGAATTTGCAACCCAAGCTCTTGAAAGTAACGGAAGCTTAAATATGCCCTGGGTTACTAATTTGAAACGGTTGCTAGACCCTTCTAATAGATAGTATGTGAATTCTACTTGTTTGAAGAAGCAGAGACTGTGCCCTATGCTCCTTGTTACTGGGTATTTATTTCCTAGACATTTGTGAGGAGCTCAGTCAAGAGCCTGTGCAAAGAGGTGGAGCACATAGGGGAGGATTCCGTAGCGTCTCATCACATTCCTTTCTTAAAGTAATTGCCTTATTTCTCTATAGAAGCCTCTTAGTCCATGTAACATAAAGATGTTCAGAGGAAGCTTTTCAAAATCAGAACTAATTAACTCTGTGATTGAGGGCAAATAACTTTATCTTTTCTAAGCCTTAGTTTTCTCATTTGTAAATATGAAAAATGTGTATGAAGAATTTGACCTGGTACATTAACAAGTACATATTCAATAAATATTAGCTTTGGGCCTAGGGATGAAGGGCTCAGGGGTGAAGTGCTTAGCATGTATGATGCCCTGGATTCTATTAAAAAATAGGAAAGAAAGAACAGAGGGAAGGAAAAGTTAGGTTTAAAAAATACCTTTTGATTAATTGCATTTTAATAACTGTTACACTTAGCTAAGCACTATTTGGAAAATTAAGGTAAGACAGAAGCCCTGCTCTCCGGAAACATTTTTATAATAGCTTGCATTCAAACCTTGAATGCAATAATATAAAGTGAATCTTACTTACAATAATTTATTTCTTGATTTAATGTTGTACATGGGTAAAAATATGTGGAAGCGTATAGAATTTCTTAAAACTGTTCGTGTAATTTGGTCAAGAAGAAACCATTTTGGTAGAGACTAACATTCTTCCAAAGAAGGAACTGGCTGGGGAAGAAGAGCCCTGGTGAGAGCTGTCTCCAGAGTTTAGAACAGTGGGGGGAGAGGGAGAGAGGGTCATAGAGGAAGGGAAGTAAGACTGAGTCTATTCTGTCCTATCTCTCAACTGTAGGAAGACAGATGTCACCAAGATTGTAGAAACTTGCAGCCGTGTTTCTTGTTTCTAAATGGAAAGGGCAGCCTGGGGAGAATGGAAAGCTACCAAGAATGACACTAATACTACAGTCTTGCATTACCAGGAAGAGGAAAAGAGTATGTGTAAAGGAACCTGTGTTATGTGGTTATACTGGGAGCTCTGAGAGGCTCAGGTACAGCTTGTCCACTGGTGAAAGGACATTGGACAGTGTCCACAGCAGAAGTGATGTGATTCTAAGTGGTCAGGTAGCTGAAATGACTTGAAAAACTTATCTGTACATAGTGTGGGTTTCTTTTTTCTTTCATGTTAGATTTTAAACCCCATTAGGATTAAGAATCAAGTCCATTTTATTTGCTTCCATGTGCCAAATATTTAGCACAATAAGTCTTGTTGAATGAAAGACAGAATTTAGTAGAAACATATTAAAGTTCTACATGTGACTATTAAAAATATAAGTACTAGAAGAGCATCAATAGAAACATAACTACATATGTTGCACCACTGTGGTGTACCTGCTACAAAAACTACTCCCATCTTTGGTTCACTAGATATGTAATACCTTAAATGAAGATTGTTGCTGGTGACCTGGTTCTGTCCCAAGCTGATAGGGTCTCCCCAGAAGCGTAGTGTCTCATCCTCTTCAGCAGCACACTTAGAAAAAGCCAAGGACCAAATGGGGAAAAGAGGAACTCAGATCCCAGAAGCAAGCTGAAGCAAATAGGCACTTGACCCTGCAGATGAGAATATTTCAAGGGCCATGAAGAAACAGGTTTCACCTTGTATATGTCTTCAGAAAGCAAAGGAGAACCAGTGATTGATAGAAATTGCAAAGAGATGAAAAAAATACTTTTCCTTATAAGACAGAAGGAAAGAATCTAACTTGGAAGGCTGCTGGAGATTTTCAAGACTGCCACCAAATTCGAATTTAATAGAAGGGATTGTCACTGGTGCTCAACCCTCACTGCATATTAGAATTCCTTTAAGGGCTTTTTAAAAAGACCAATGCCTGGATCCTTCCCAAGATATTCTGATGTAATTGGTATGGAATAGGCTTCAGGCACTGGTTTCTTTTAAAAGCTCCTTGGGGGAGTCTGAAATATAGTCAAAATTGAACCCTTGAGCTAGAATGCCAAACCATTAACTAATATTTATTTAGCACTTGTGTACCAGACATTGTGTTGAACATATTCCTATTATTTCATTTACATAAGCTGTATATTGCCTGTGTGAAGCCATGAAAGATCAACAGGTTTTGATCCTTACGCATGGCCACACTGCTCTTAAAATGACAGTGCCCAAGTTGCAACTCAAATCTGACTTTGAGAGCCCATGATTCTTTTCAGCAAACCCCTCTCCTCATTACAGCCAATCACCATTTCCTTATTGAATCTGTCCACAGGATCTTGACATGTTTCCTTAAATGTTATTTACCTTAGCAATTTTAAAAGATCATGTCATCTAACTTTATTTCTTTGGAAAAGTGATTAATCTTTCTATTAACTATGTCCATTTTCCTAAATAAATAAACCTAGACTTTACAGAAGCACAAATAATTCATCAGAATTTTCATCACATCTCCAGAGCATATCTTGTCAAATTTTCCTTTGGGCCTGATAACCATAATCAAGAAAGCTGCTAGCACAGAGAACATATCCCAAAACCACTTGCCTCAGCTCTAATCTGCAAGTAAAACAAATGAATAATAGTTGTACAAGACCAACACTAAACCTTTCTGGTTTTGCATAGTCTCAAGCTTAAAAGAGAATAAAGCAAAAAAAAAAAAAAAAGCAATGCATCTGTTTAAATAGTACCATATCATGTAGTACCATATATCAGATAGCTAGCATTCAATTATTTGTTTTTAAATTAACAGATTATATTCTGTTTTTAGATAAGTGGCTGATTTTTGTGTCCTTTAAAGTCTGTTGGCATATTGTAATGTCACTATTCTTAAGGCCGTTGCTTGATATTTTGAAAACTATTTGATGTGTTAAGACCTGCCAGTGAAGACAAGAAACAAACCACCATGTTCACATGGTATGCCTTATATGTGACCCATGTGCTCTATTGAAGTGGTCACAATAGTTTTCTAATAGTAGATAGTGTTTGTTACTTGGAAAATCCTATTCCAAAGATTGTGACCATGTTAGTACAATGTACTTCCCAAGACCACCGCTCTACCCTCCCAAGTTTGTTTGTTTGTTTGTTTGTTTGTTTGTTTTCAGGCTGGCTCACATAGGAGCTGCAGTCTTAAATGGTAAGACTCAATAGCTTCTATTGTGGTCCCAGATAAGCAGAAGCTTTTCAAATGCAATTTGGGTATGTTTATGTAAATGGCACAATGCCATGTTAAAATACATACCTATTTCAGTGGTAGCAACCTTTCACTGTGTTTAATTTGACTCGATAATGACTGAATCTACTCAGGTCATGCTTCAAAAATTGCGATAACTGCTAAATACAAAAATTAAAATCATATTACTTTGGAAATAATACTATTCGTAGTATATTAAGTTTTCTTATAAGCTTAACTGTATCAAAAACTTTAATTTTAGTTGTTTGAATTAACTAAAGTATATTTTGCTTATTCTTTCCTCTAAGTTTCATCTTACTTCTGAAACATCAAACTTTAAATTTAATTGGTCTAGTAATTATCCTAAAGTAGTGATAAAATAAAATACTATTTCTTTAATAAAATACTGTTTCTTTAAAACAGGGAGATGATATAACAATGAAGTCAAACATAGATAATTTATACCACATTAGAACTAAAGTTTTATAGCATCTGAAAATAACTTCATTCAAGTAGATCTATAGATCTTTATGGCACTATACAATTGCAGTATAAACAATGTGATTATATGAAAAGTAAGTCAAGGCAGAGGTGACATTTAAGCAGTTTATTCAGTGACTCTAAAAGCAGAGAACTGCTGATATCAGAGTAGCCTTGGCAGCATGAATCATGTTTTTTTTTAATATTTAGATAATTGAACTTTAAACTAAAATCGAGGCTCACTTATATAGTTAAAAACAAATCGATGCATACTTACAGTTCAGACTTTCCTGAAGTACAAGAAACTAAACCCCAAGCTTCCCTAGACTGGGCTGGGTTTGTCAGCTGAGCTCTTCCATCCGGTCGTGGCGCAATTGGTTGGGTTCTCTTCTTTTTTATATTCACATGTGGTGGTAGGGTTTCTTTTTCCCCTTTTCTTTTTTCAGTATGACATCCTTTCGACTCCTTTAAAAGATATTAAAAGATCCCACCACCCTTGAACAACTTGACACTCAATTAACACAAAACTTCAGGAAATTGTATCTTCTTTATGAATACCCTCCAACTTGAAAATTGAAGAAAGTTTTCCTCACTCCTAAATTTTTAAAAAGTTTTATAAATTATAAGCAGAAATAATCATTTTCTGCCAGGACAAATGATATGTATATGCTGTAATGGACTTTTTAAGCATAAGTATTGAGTTTGTTTCTTTCTGGATTGATTTTTTTAAATTGAGTTTATTGGTACATTTTAGGTATACAGTACAGTTACATTCATCATTGGGATCCTGTACCTTTACATGACAGGTCTTGGTTCTCATTTTTTCCCCTTGTCTCTGCCCTCCCTTCACCCCCTCCCCTTCTGGATTCATTTTAAAAATTGTTGTCCACATAAATTGCCGCCGTATACTGAATTATACTAACATTAGTAGTAACATTTTTTACTCTTCTTTGCTTAAGCTTTATTTGGTCTTTCCGGTATCTTTGTATATTTTTGTGTATACTTTTAAGATCTTGTATTTATTTTCTAAAACAATTTTATAATTTAGGAGTAAATGAGACTGTGATAATATTCTCCCCTTTTAATCCCAATAATAAGCTTATCCAAGGAAATTAAAACAATGTATATTTTAAAGAAAATAATGATGCATTCTGCAGTTTTTCTTCTGGTCCTACTCCAGTATTTGACTACTGCCAGTTATCTGTGTGACTGCTGGCCCTGCAGCTCAGTCTCATTTCCCTTTTCTTCAATGTCACTGGAAATGAAAAGTTAGCTTGTATACGTCCCATAACTGTTAGCCTGCAGCTCTGTTCAATTAAATAATATTTAATTCATCTGGCTTTATCTAACATTCTAATTATTACTGGGTATCCGTTCCTGTACATTCTAGGCTCCGGAGCTTTTAGTTTATTATAGCTATAATACCTAGGACAGTATTTTTATTTTATTTATTAGTACATGTTTGCAGTACATAGTGTTTATGTTCCTTGTGGGGAGCTGGCATATGTACATAACACATCTGGACTCCTTTTTCCACCCGCTATCCTCCCCTCCTTCCCTCCTCCCTCAATGTCTTGGGAAAGTCTTGAAGTCACAGGCATAGGCAAGAGCTTTCTGAACAGAATCCTGGTTGCACGAGAAATAGTACAGAGAATCAACACATGGGGTCGTGTCAAATTAAAAACTTCTGCACAGCGAAAGAAACAAGAGTGAAAAGACAACTTTTACAGAATGGGAAAAATGTTTGCCAGCTATTCCTCAGACAGAGGACTAATATCAAAAATATATAAAGAATTCAAAAACTCAGGCTCCCCAAAGTAAAAGACCCAATCAAAAAAAAAATGAACAAGTGGGGGCTGGGGATTTAGCTCAGCGGATCGGTGGCCTGCCTTGCAAGCGCAAGGACCCGAGTTCAATCCCCAGTACCAAAAAAAAAAAAAAAATGAACAAGTGGAATGAATAGGCACTTCACAGAAGAAGAGGGACAGTGTTTTGAAACTGCTAGAATAAAAATATTTTGTAGCCCTTACTTTCCCCTTAAACCTCTAAGAAGGAGGGTGATTACCATATTGGCCTGGGAGTGTTTTGTCTTATTTTGATAAAGAATGCATGACATGAAATTTACCATCTTATCTGTTTTCAAGTGTATAATTCAGTAGTGTCAAGTATATCGCATTGTTGCGCAACAAATCACTAGAACTTTTTCATCTTGGAAAATTAGAACTCCATACTGACTAATCACTACTTTTCTCTCCCCTTACCCTACCCCCAGCAAACATGACTCTACTTTCTACTCCTATGATTTTGACTTCTTTAGCTACTTTCTAGGAGGGGAAGCACACAGTATTTGACTGGCTTATTTTACTTAGCACAGTATCCTCAGGATTCCTCCACTTTGCAACATATGACTGATTAGGCTACATGATATTCTACTGTGTGGCTACATCTCATTTTCTTAACCATTCTATCTGTCGGTGGACATGTAGATTGCTCCTGCCTCTTGGCATGTGTGAATAATGCTGCAGTGAACGTTTGTGTACAAATATCTCTTCAAGAGCCTGGCGGAACTTTTATATAATTAAATAGGTATTTTTCCTATTAGTCTTCTGTCTCATAAAATCTAGTATTTCTTTCTCTGTCATGCTATCTTCCCATACCCAAACCATCCATTTTCACAATGCTTTTGACGTCTTTCGCTTTCTCACATCGTGACCACATTTTCTCTTCAATATGAGTCAGCAAGGCTACCACCAGATTTGAATACAATCTTTTTCTAACACTTTATGTGAGCTTTTTCCTATTCGAGCTGAACTTTTTACTTTGTCTCAGTATTTTTAGCTCATTTCTATATATCCTCTTCCACTCACCCTTCCTGGATGTCTTTTGTTGATATTGTAAGCTTTTTATGTATATGAAGATAGATGTAGAAATAAGGTTACTGATACCACCATCCTGTCTTTTTCTAAATCCCAGTCCTGGTGAATTCAGCTCACTGTGTCTTTCACTACTGAGCCAAATGTACAATCACGCTGGCTGAACTCACTGCAGACTCATGATTGCAAGCTTTAGTGAGCTCCTGAGCTGCCAGCAGCCCTGCTGTATTTCCTTAGCCCGTGATTCTTAAAGCATAGCTCCCAGACCCTCGGTGTCAACATCACTCAGAAGCTTGATAAAAATGTGTTCTCTTGACCTCATCCCAGACCAATGCCAGGAATTCTGGGGATGGGAACTAGTAATCTGTAAGATTTCGATGCCAAAGTTTGAGAAACACTGCTTTAAGTCACTTTGTTCTTTTAATCTTTGAAAATACTTTTCAAACCTTCATTCTTCTCAGACTTTCAATAACCCCCACTCCTTTCCCACTCCCCTTTGATGAGTGCTTTTATTTCATTAAGAAAATAGACACACCCAAAAGAGAACCTCCCCTGTACTATAAAATATGTTGTGTAGAAAACTCAAACTTTATATGTATTTTCTTATTTTAAAATATTTCTTATTTTTATATTCTACCATTGAAGGAAAAACCAATAATTAATGAGGGGCAAAAGATTGTGGACAGGGAAATAGAACCAAAAAGCTAGACCTCTCTGAATGCTATTTGTTTTGCAGTTTTGACTTTGGAACTATAGCGAGGGGTTTTTTTGTATGTGATTAAAACACCAAACTAATCCAAATCTAATTAAAACAAATGGACCTTACTACACTACAAAACAGAAGCATGATCACAAGGAGAATTATTTTAAGTGACTTTAAAATAGGATAGGTTTTTTTCATTTATATCTTAGGTTTATCAAAAATTTAATAGTTTGGTACAAAGATATTTTTTACTCAGATATTAATCCCATGTTAATTTTTCTACATTTATTTATCCTTCTCAATCTTTCAATTTTTATATGTTTCAGTGATTTGCTTCATTTGATTTTTTTTTTGCTTAAAAGATATTTAGAGTATATTGATATTAAGAAGTCTGCTATATTTTGGACATCACAACCTGATGAATTAGTCTTTCACATAAGATAAGACTGGTGCCCATAGCTCAATTTTTAACTACTTGTCCAGGTTACCCATCTTTTCAGTCCTTCCTCTAATCCAACTCTTTCATCAATGAAACATAAATTCTTGCTTATTAGTTTTTCTATGTTTACTATATTTTAAAAACACACTATGTGATTACCAAAATAATCCATTTAATGAGAAATGGACATTAATAGTGATGCATGTCATTTTCTGTATCAATTAGGATTTTAAGTAAAAATTATCTTACTAATTTTTCTTTTATTTCTCAAAATATCCAATGATAAAACTTGGAGTTCTTTAATTTTCACTCTAAGAAGCAAATATTAATTGCATTAATATGAGTGTGGATGGTTTTATTTTTCCTCTCCATGACCTATTCTTAATAAACATATTATTTAAAGAAATCCCAGTAACTCATTTCTCTTAATTCTTTTCATGTACAAATTATATTCTCTAGAAGGCTAACCTCTTAAAGAAACTTGCCTTATAGTCTCAGTTTAAAAACTGGCCTTCAATTTTGCTCATTCACATCTTATCTGATGGCATTGTTGTCCTTCATTAACTTAAGAATAAACTATTTTTATAAAATTAAACAAATTGATGTTAGACTTGGTGTTATCTACTCAGTGTTTTGCTTACCATACAAAGTACAATAGCAGCCTCAAAGTAAAAAATACAAAGTATAAAAGTGTATGATGCCATTACATGCATCAGTCTCCATCTTGACAAGTGTGGTTTTTTAGGAAATTCTGGTGAAAGACTGTGATATTGAGTAAAATTATATTTAGTTTAATTTTACTGCCTTAATATGATTAATTACATAATTTTTACATTTTTTTAATTAAGTTTATTGGTACATTTAGGGATACAGTACAGTTACATTCATTGTTAGGATCTTGTACCTTTACATGGCAGGTCTTGGTTCTCATTTTTCCCCTTGTCCCTGCCCTCCCTCACTCCTCCTCCCCTCCCCATTTACAAACACTTTATTTCCATCTTTTCATTTTCTCACATTTTTTCTTTTCCCTTATTACCCTTCCCCTAGATTAATTACATATTAAACATAAATGTTCTACACTAGTAGAGTTTCTGAACAGCCTTGAGAGGTAACAGTGGTATCTTCTCTAGCAGTTTAGAGCTTAGCTTCAGAAGTTAAACCTGTACACATGGTAATTACTCCACCACATACAAATTTGATGTTTCCTTTATCAACCTACTGGTGTGCCAGGACAAGAGGATATTTATGAAGTGACCTTAGAGTTGGATAAAAGTCCTTTGTCTTTGTCTAAAATATAATAATTCTCAGCGGGGATTTAGCTCAGTGGTGCCGCCAACTGCCTCACAAGCACAAGGATCCAAGTTCGATCCCCAGTACCCACCCCAAAAAAAGGCTGAAGAAAAGCCTTTCTTTCTCCCCCATGCACTCATTTTCTTCATTATTTATATTAATATAGACTGATGGATTCTTACTTCAATAATAAAACAGTATTTTGACTGGGTTTACCTGGTGTAGTACAGTATGTCCTAAGGACAAAAGGAACAGCAAAGAAATTGTAAACAGAATACAGTATTCCTGTTACTGGTGTAGTGGCTGCTGTTATTTTAAAACCTATGCACACACACTGAAGGGCAAAGCAAATGAGTAATTATGTTAATATCATTAGGTATTGAGATTACTCGCCAAATTGAAATAAAAACCCTATAATTGAGTAGGAAGAAAAATAGTATACGTTTGTGATTTATTTTCTCCTTCTAAAAAATATTTTCTCTCTGCCAATGAAAAATCAAAGCAATAATAACTCAGTAGCAATAATATGCCTAGTACCTACATTATGGATTTGAAAGCCTTTTCCACTAAAAAGAAACAAGGCTGCTTAGAGAAATGGCTGATTCCAGATCTGGACAAGAAATGAACAGAATGATCTGGGGGTATCGTCTTGTGCTTGAAAGCAAGGATGTTAACAGACTCCTAGAGTCTTAAAAAAAAGACACGGGAGCTGATTTAAGGTGTCCCTACTGACCAAAAGTGGGACAAGTTAAGCATCAAAATGAACAAAGCAGCAATTAATTAAAATACATCAAATATGTAAAAGTCTGTAACTCTATGTTAATGCAAACCAAAACCTTTGTTTGTCACCTTTGGAAGTTGTCTAGAAACCAACTTGCTATTCTAGAAATAGTTCATAATGCCTTTATTCATAATATCAAAAACAAGGAATAGCCCAAATGACTATACACAGAACAAACTCGTAAATTTGCACAGTAGAGTAGTGCCCACTTAGCAATTTAAAAAATGGATTATTAAAACAAAATACATGTATCTCAGAAACATTATACTGAGTGAAGGCTGTACATAAAAGAGTGCATATTACACCATTTTGTGCATATGAAGCTCTAGTCCAGGCAAAATAAACCTGTGGTGAAAAATGTCAGGATAGTGCCTTGCACTGGGAATACGGCAGCAGAGATTGAATGGGCATTGAATGAGGGAGATTTCTGGACTGATAACATTTTCATAGGGATTCAAATTATACAGTTGTATGCAATTCATCCTTTTAAGATGTATGCACTTTATGTTATATAAATGTTACAACTATTTTAATATTAAGTTTTTGTGATATGTGTGCTAAAATGTAGTAAAAAGTAAAATGAAATGATGATGGATGAATAGATAGATATTTGCTAAACAAATATAGCACAATATTGCGAGATGTAAGTGGTGAATAGATAGGTGGTTAGTATAGAATCCCTTTAATTTTCTCTGTTTAATAGTCTTCATAACAAAACAATAAGGAAACCTTCCACTTGGGAAGCCCAAAGTATGGATCTAGGCATCAATGGCTGCTGACAACACTGAGTGAAAAATTTATGTTGCATCTTATGATAGGTCAGGAAGATAATACCTGAACTTACTGCTGAATCCTGTTACTAAAAGTAGGACAACCTGGGCCGGGGATTTAGTTCAGTGGCATCATGCCTGCCTTGCAAGTGCAAGGTCCTGAATTCAATCCCCAGTTCCAGAAAAAAAAAAAAAAGGTAGGACAACCAGACATGTTTTTCCTGAAGTGATACAATAGTCACACCACACAAGAAGCATCAGTGCATAAAACTAAAATTAAATCTGAATCTACTCAGGATTCTGGATCAAACCACAGGACTGGAGGTGTAGCTCAATTATCACACACTTGCCTAACATACACAAGGCCCTGGACTCAATCACCAGCAGTATAAAAACAATCTCGTTATGAGTCATAACTGAATCTTTACTCTGATGAGAATTATGATGGACTGATGGATTTCAGTACAACATTAATGTTAGTGTAAATATAGTCAATAAACTATGAAGGCTTCCATTTTAAGCTTTTACTTCCCAAGAATGTGATAAGAACACTTCCACAGGGGTGGCCAGAAGACACTATTTGGGTTCTGCTGCTGCTGCTGCTGCTGCT